CCCTACATTTGAACCCTAAAGTTCAAAGTGGGGATCCAGCCTTGACAGCATGTAATTCCCATTGGCACCTAACTGCCATTTGTGCCTTTGAAAAGCTCTCCCAAAGCAGTTATGGATTTTGCCCAAGACTCCAGAAATCAGCAGGAAAATTGGGAATAGTAGATGAGTCATTGCTCCCAGTCTCATAGTCCAATCACAATCCCTTCTAAGAGTCAAATCCTGATCCCATAAAAATCAATAACAAAACTGCAAGAGATTCCAGTGGAACCAGGATTTGCCTCTATGTGATAGTTATTAAGGTTCATTAATTGGCAGAGGAAGGGGAGGGACAGTGCCAACAACTGGTACAAGGTTGGTTGAAAACAATGGATTCCTGTCTAGAACTAAAAAGTACCTTGTAGTGTTGACCTGCCTGCTTTGTATTTGTGTAAGAGCCCATACAGCTTTGGGTCTTTCCCAATAGAGCTTCTGACCCATTTAGTATTTGTCTGCCATTACTCATAAGTGGGACAAGGTGGGTGAGGTAATATCTTTTATAACAACACTGCATATTACTTATAAGTAATCACTGTGTAAAATGAACAAAAGCTCTTCTTGTTTGGCAGTGATTTGGAAGAGAAGCATCACCCGAATATAAATACTCACGTGCTGAACTTCCTTTTCTTTCAGAATTATCACATATCTTTACTGGCAAATAATAGAAGGAAGAAAGATAATGGTCAGACTCCTGCATGAGCAAATTATTAATGTAAGTTTGTTTTTCAGGTTTCTATTATTTAAAAAAAGACAGCAAACATGTTAGCTCGTTTCCTCATGTCCGTTGCATATGACGCTTGCACGCAGAGAGGTTTCTGTTTTGGCACAAGTGAGAAGAGGAAAATATCCTCCTAAACACACTTGACTAATCAACCCTGTCTGCAGTTTATTTTAAGGTTATGCAGGGCATCACACAATTCCTCAGACGTGTTATTTGAAGCAAGGAAATGGTTTGTTTTCCACAGGTGTGGTGTCAGATGGCTAGGTGTCAAGATATGGTACTTTCAGGAACTAGTAGTCTGATCTGGCTCTGCAAACTGTGTGTCTTTGTTAGATTTGGTTTCTAAATAGACAGAAATTGAATTGGTGGGTATAGCCTTTTCAGTGCAAATACCATTCCCATTAATGCTAATGCCTAAGAGGACAGTAAAACCTGGGTGTTGTAAAAAACACCACAGAGCAGTTGCTTTATTTTCTTTGTGAAAATAAAAGTACAATTAATTTTACTTTCGTAAATATTATTTTTATGCTTTTTGCTTGGTATGTGTGAGGAGGGGTCTGAAGTTCATCATCCCAAAGACTTTTGTGACAATAAAGACAGACTTAGAGTAGCACCTTGAGTTGTGTGAAAGTTTTGGGTCATGCGCCCCCATCCCTGAGACTTTTGGCTAAGCAGGATTTGGTTAGTCTGGAGAGCTGGCCAGCTTGCTAGGGAGAGGACAGGGGCTGCCAGAGCTGACTCGCTTTCTGAAGCTGGGATGTGGGGCCTATTTTCTGCATGTAAAGTCTGTGTAGAAGTCATCTTGGGTGAAATTCAGCAGTTTGCGATGGTCCTGTGTATGCTCCTTGGGCGCGAGAATAAGAATTGTCGTGTGCCAGGGAGGTAGGCTCCATGCTGGCTCTGAATGTACTGATATGCGGGCACCACTGGATCTGTTCTAGTGGCCAAGACAACCCCGATGGAGGTAGAAAGAGCCAGCCTGTTGGCTAGAGTAGTGACTGCAGAGGGGCTGTACTGCAGGCTTCCTGTCTGTCTGCCTGCAGCTGGAGGAGATGATTTTATTTCCCCTCACCCTACCCTCCCGCTGCTGCCACCTCCCCTGCAGGGTAGCTACGTAGTCTGTTTAATCAGATTCCTGCAGGATTTGAGAATGTAACTATATGCATAACAACTCCCTCTTCTGCATTCTCTCAGCTGGCTTTGGGAAAGCTAGTGCTTTAGACTGCATCTCTCCCTGCCTCCTCAGTAAACCTTTGGGGTTACAGCCTGTGACGGGTTCGGTCACAGAGACCCCCTTGGGACTGTCACCTGCTGTGCTGAGATTACCTCTGAGCCCATTTTCCCTGCCAGCTTGGGACTCCAGAATCCTGTCTTGTTGAGCCAGACACACTAGCCTGCTGCAACACAAGCCCAGGTCTGGTCCATGCCCCCAAAGCTGCAGACTTTAGGTGACCTGCTTAGCAGTTTTTGGTTATCTCCAGCACCCAGACACCCAGCTTCCAATGGGATCCAAACCCCAAATAAATCCGTTTTACTCTGTATAAAGCTTATACAGGGTAAACTCATAAATTGTCCGCCCTCTATAACCCTGATAGAGAGAGATACACAGCTGTTTGCTCCCCCAGGTATTAATCACTTACTCTGGGTTTATCAATAAACAAAAGTGATTTTATTATGTGTAAAAAGTAGGATTTAAGTGGTTTCAAGTAATAATAGACAGAACAAAGTAAGTTACCAAGCAAAATAAAACAAAACACGCAAATCTAAGCCTAATACATTAAGAAACTGATTACAGATAATATCTCACCCTCACATGTTCCAAAAAGCTTCTTTCAAAGACTAGACTCCTTCCTATTCTGAGCCCAATCCTTTCCCCTGGCAATGTCCTTGTCAGTTCCAGCAGACATCTTAGGTGGAAACTAGGGGTTTTCTGATGACTGGAAGCTCCCTTTGTTTGGTTCCACCCCCTTTTATATCTTTGGCACAAGGCGGGAATCTTTTGTTTCTCTGGGTCCCCTCCCCTCGTTATAAATGGAAAAGCACCAGGTTTAAGATGGATTCCAGTATCAGGTGACATGGTCACATGTCATTGTGAGACCCCTTCCATTCTTCCAGGGCTGGCAGGCACATATACAGGAAGGCTTGCTGGTAAATAAACCATTTACAGCCAATTGTCCTAGTCAATGGGAGCCATCAAGATTCTAAACAACCATTAATGGCCCAACTTTGCCTAATTACAATAGGACCTCAGAGTTATACTTCATATTCCTAGCTTCAGATACAAGGATGATGCATGCATACAAATAAGAGGAATATTCAGTAGGTTATAACCTTTATACTGATACCTTACAAGAGACCTTTTGCTTGAAGCATATTCCAGTTACATCATATTTACACTCATAAGCATATTTCCATAAAACATTATGGAGTGCAACGTCACACAGCCCATCTAGAGATAAGTTTTGACTAATGGAGTTAGAATAACTTGGGTCTTATCTACTCTGGGAAATTATTCTGCTATACATATGCCAGTCAATTTCTGTTATAGCTGTGCCAGTATAACTCTCTTGTGTGGACATGATATTCTGGAATAAATGTGATTTTATTCCACAATTATTCCACTTTGATTGTAATTGCTATCCTGGTCAATTTCCCTGTGTAGACAAGCCCTGCGATTGCATTAGGAATAATATGCACATTCAAGTTAATAACATTCTTTTTTTTATTGTAGGAAGGAAAGGATAAAATGTTTTTACTTAATAAACTACGTGCACTGCAGACATCAAAACTAGACCCACCCAAAGGAGAACAGCAAGAGGTCAGTTCAAAGGCGCGGGTGTTTCTGTGTTGTTCACATTCTGTAGATAAATGATCACAAGGCCAGAAGGGAACACTATCTATGAAACAGGAAAAGATTAAGACTGAGCTCTCAAAACTGGATACTCTCATGAAAAACCAACCTTCCACACAAACTTCCTCATGGATAGACTTTACAAAAACTAGACAAGCCATTTACAACACAAACTTTGCTTATCTATGAACTGCTGATTTTATAAATCAATCACCAATTGGGGGTACATCCACTCCAGTTGTTAACACCTTTGCAAAGGCTAGTCTGGACAATGCCAATGCACTTGTAATTTACCCAGGGGATCACCAGAAGGTAAACATCTCAAGTAAAGACAACCTCCCTGTTGGTGTTTACAAAGCCAAAGGAAAACCTTCCTAACGTAAACGTGGTGTGACAGTCACAAAAGGGCTCAACCATTCTCAGGCCTCCTCTAGACTAGGGGAAAAGGTGCTTTCCCCTTCACCCCCAACTGAGTTAGGTCACAGGAGCTTATTACTCCACAGAAAATCCCATTCAGCATGAATGTGGAGAGTTTTTAATACCTTTTGGCTTGAATTTAATAGGTCAAGGTTAGCCTGAAGTGGGGTTTTCAATCTTTAAATGAGCTCAGCTGAGCTAATTTGACTTGAAAAAAGGACCCGTTTTTTCTAGACAAGGCCAAGGTAAGAGTCCGTCCCTGGAGCGGATTCAGCCCGGGAGAGTTGTTCTGATGTTGATATGCTACCCTGTGTTCCTCTGGTTGTGTATTGTCACTCAGTATCCTGCTGGGATAGATGGATGGAGCTCTGAAATAAGACAGGAATATTCCTGTCTAATTTCCTTCTACCATTGTGCTGGTCTCAAGTGCTGGTTAATCACATCCTGCATTCTCCCCTGTCTTCAAAACTCTCCTCTGGGCTCTTTAATGCTAAGACCACTTGTTTCTCTGTTACAGCCATTCTGCTTTTCTTTACAGATTCCCCTCTCTTCCTACATCACCCCCCCACAAAGCCACCCGAAAGAAAGGGAAGCAAGCTAAAAAAATAGTAAAAAAGGAAACAAAGGAAAAGAGCCCAAAAAGACACAGAAGAAAATAAACTCTTTTTATCTCAGGAAGCTCAGTGCATCCAAATTCTCAAGCAGCATAGACAGAGCAATTCTCAAGCCACAACTTCTAGTGCAGTTGCCCAAGCTCTGATGTCTTTCCTCTACAATGCACAATGCTCTTCTATTCCACCCAGTTATTTGTATCTAAAGCAATAAAAGATTCTTGTGGTAACCGATGAATTGTCAGTGTAACTCTAGAGGGCCAAATATGCCAATCCAGAAAACAGGAGACAGACCACCAGCATAGCATAGTGGTAAGAGCAAGGAACTGGGAGCTGAGATCTGAATTCTATTCCTAACTTGCTGGGTGGCTTTGGGCAAGTAATTTACATCCGTGCCTCAGTTTCCCCATTTGAAAATTGGGAGTTATGAGAGTCACCTGCCTTTGAGATTATTTGACAAAGGGTTCTGTACAGTGCATGCCAAAAGCACTATTGTTATTTCTCAGTATCTCCACGAGATGGAGACAGGAGCCAAATAAAACTTTGTAGCACCAATTCTTGAATAAAAGGCACTAATCTGCCTAAGCAGGGCTGTTCACGTTGTCTCCCAGACAGCTGGAGATGCCTGTCCCTAAGCTAATGAACTCAAAGCACTTTGGAGGACAGGATTAGAGTTCAAAATGACCTTGATAAATTACAGAATGGGTTTGAAGTCAACAGATTAAATTCAATGAAGACAAGTGCAAAGTATTACACCTAGGAAGAAAAAAATCAATTTGCCCAAGTACAAAATGGGGAATAATTGGCTAGGCAAGCAGTACTGCTCAAAAAGTATCTGAGGGTTGTAGTAGATCACAAATTGAATATGAGCCAACAATGTGATACAGCTGCAGAAAAGGCTAATATAATTCTTGGGTATATTAACAGGAGTGTCATATATGAGAGGTAATTGATCTGCTCTATTTGGCACTGGTGTGGCCTCAGCTTGAGTATTGGGTCCAGTTTTTGTCACCACACTTTAAGAAAGATGTGGACAAATTGGAAAGAGTCCAGAGAAGAGCAACAAAAATGAGAAAAGGTTTAGAAAACCTGACCTACAAGGAAAAATTTAAAAAAACTGGGTACGTTTATTCCCGAGAAAAGAAAGCCAAGTGGGGGGGACCTGATAAGTCTTCAAATATGTTGAGGGCTGTTATAAAGAGGATGATGACCGATTTGTTCTCCATGTCCACTGAAGGGAGGAGAAGTAATGGCCTTAATCTGCACCAAGGGAGATTGTGGTGAGATATAGGGGGAAACTTTCTAACTATAAGGATTGTTAAATACTGGAACAGGGTATTAAGGGAGGATGTGGAATCCCTGCCACTGGAGAGTTTTTCAGAGCAGGTTAGACAAACACCTGTTGGGGTGGTCTAAGTTTACTTGGTCCTGGCTTAGCGCAGGGGGCTGGATTAGATGACCTCTCGAGGTCCCCTTCAGTCCTGCAATTTCTATGATTCTATCAAATGTGTTGAGGGTTATTCTCTAACTTGTTATGGCAGGAATAGCCTCGCTCAGTGCTTCACATAAGGAGATTGATTGTTTTTCTTTTCTCTCCCTAGTGCACTGTGCTCCTTGTTCCCATTAAAGTCTAATAGTGAAAATTCTACTGATTACTTTGGGGTAGGATTGAACTCTTTGTTGGGGCTGCCCTCCACTTTCAGCATCCTATCTTTATGGATAGATTAGAGCTAATCAGAGATTGAATCCACGAAGATTTTTTTTTTTTTTTTTAGACCTACATGAACCCAGGACATGTAGAAATCTAGCAAGGGACTCTGTTAAAATCTTATGATGACAGGCTGTGAGTTAATGCTCTCTGTTTGAGAGAAATGTGTGCACTTCAGGGTTAAATGAGCAATTGCAGTCAATGAGCACTGACTGGTGACAGGGCATCTGCCTACGTGAGCAGTCCTGGAGTGAGGATGTGAGCATATAGCCCTCCCTAACACCTAGACAAATTTTAATAGCTTCCTAAATATGCATTTGCCTGTGACCTAGCTAGTCCCCTTGCAAATGTAGGTGCCAAAACACACCGCAAGTGGAGCTGGGGGGAAAAGAGCGCTGAGAAACAGGCACATTTTACCTACGTACCTGGAGCTTGGGGGTGGAGGAACAGTATCCACAGAACAGCTACAGTCGTAGGTATGTACGTATTGCTAATCTGACATGCTGTCTTCCAGAGGAGTTCATCTTCGTACCAGCCATCTAGACAAGATGCTCTGCAAATGACAGCCTCCCTAGAAAGGCCATTTGGGAGAAATGGAAGAGACTTCTATGCTGAGGTATGATAAGTCAGCCAAGAAGAGGGTCCGTCTACACTCTACAGGGTACTTGTATGGAAGATAGTAGTTTTCGTGTGGATGTTGTGATGATAATAGGACCTCCGCAGTTTGCAGACACCATTATCCACCCACCTCAAAAACTATTTTTAATATAAAAATGTATCAAGAAAAGCTTTCAGAACAAAACCCAACTAGTTTTTCACAAAGCCACATCAGGTTGGCAGAAGCAAAGGATACATTTGTTTAAGTGATCTAAGTTTGCTTTTAAACATAAGGCAACAGTCATATTGGTGGAAAACATGGAAGTAAATATTCTGATTTACTGTGAATTTTGTTTTCAGTCCTCCTCTGCTGGGATACCAGAAAAGACTGGCCTGTCTCCTGGTAAGTAATAACTCTCAACACAGAGAAAACAACTCGCAGAAGTTCAGCTCAGTAAGATTTTGAAATGCAGTAGGTCAAAGTACCATAATGACTACAGAATTCTGTCTTCCTCCGATGAAGGGCAGGAACAAATAATCAGATTAGGCCATTAAAGCCAACATCTTCAGAAGCAGACATTGGGTTTTCATGCCTCAGTTTTTGAGTGCTCGACTATACGTCTTGGGCTCCACTAGGGTACACCCTTATCTCTACTTGATGTCAATGGGAGCTGCGTGAGCTTAGCGCCTCTGAAAATCAGGCCCAAGCTGTGTCAAACTAACTGGGCATCCAAAATCAGTGGCTACTTTTGAAACGTGGCGGCAGACTTATGTGTACCTGAAAAGTGAATTGAAACAAATGAAACTCCATGTCCTCTTAGGGGAGTAGGCCTGGAGGGAATACTGTATCAGTAAGGGTTGTACTTCACTTTGCATTTGTTTCAAAGAGGGTTATTAAGGGTATGTCTACACTACCCGCTGAATCGGCGGGCAGCGATCGATCCAGCAGGGATCGATTTATCGCATCTAGTCTAGACGCGATAAATCGACCCCTGAGTGCTCTCCCGTAGACTCCTGTACTCCAGCGCCGAGAGAGGCGCAGGCAGAGTCGACAGGGGAGCAGCAGCAGTTGACTCACTGTGGTGAAGTCAATAACGTACGTGAATAATGTAGCTGAAGTTGACGTACTTAGATCGATCACCCCCCCCCCCACCCCCCAGTGTAGACCAGGGTTTAGCGTGTATATGGTGGCCTAGAACTTTCATACAGCTAGAAGCAAGACAGGCATGAAATCTCACACATGAGCTTGATCTGGCTTGCACACACATGTATCTTCCTTGTACTTGAGAGATGGTTTAATTTACCAGCATAGGCACTTTCTTACAAATGGAGGGCTAACATTGTTATATGTGCACTCACCAAGTCCATCTTACTTCCTTTGCTAAAAGCAGACGAAGAGGGACACCAACCAGGGATTTCTGAGACCCTGGCACTGGCTCTGAGAGCCAGACAACAGGCTGAATGGGAAATGGAGGACGACGATGAGGAGGACTTTAGACCATGAACTGTACGAAGCAATTATGCATACTAATTGCTAGAAGTACTTCTAGTAAACTTCACTGTTTTGCACTAATGGTTGGAAACCCATTGGAAATGACTGATTTTTTTCAAATAAGAAGCTAAGGAAAAAAATTAAAGCAAGAACACATCAGAAAATGCACTTTGTAAATTGCAGTTTAAATTTTATAATTTCATAGTAAATGCACTGTACTATTTTGTTTAAAAAAAAATGAAATCTTGATAATAGCAGACCTCTCTAGCATCTGCTATGAAATCTCTTGCTGAAATATAGCAAATGACCACCATTCATCGGGTTAGGAAGGAATTTTTTATTGTATCGATGTAACGTGTGCCTAATGACAAATGCAAATTACAATTCTGGAACCCTTGATGGTATTCTTATATCTGACTTGTTTTGATCTGGCTGTTCTTAGCTGTATTTTTTAAAAACAGAAGTGAAGTATTAATAAAATAAAAAGGAGTCTAGCCTATTTAAAACTATTTGTTAAAGTAAATTGTGACACAGATTGGTGAATATAAAACTGTTTGTGTGAACCCTACTGCTGTCAGCCTCTCTCTCTTCACAATTAAGATTACTCATCTTTTGAACCTTTTTTGACAGAGGTTAAAGTGTCATTTTAGAATGGCTATAATGTGATAAACTCTAATCTTGTTATCAGAGTTGCGTTTTTTTGTGTATTTGTATTATGACTTCACACCACTTACACCAGCTTACCACAGAAATCCTTTTTCTTCATATTTGTGGCAATTCCAGCTGCCATCTGATACGTTAAGCTACAAGCACAAATTGTAAACAAAGGGTCAATAGCACCTAGCTACTCCAGCGTGCCTCAACGTGATTTTGGGCTGCATGGTGCACTGCTTCTTTTGTTGCAGCAGTCTTTGCCACCTGCAGGGCCCTAGCCTGGCTATGCTGTCCATCTCCATTTGGTTCTCATTTCTTAGATACTTTTAAATGTCTACCTTTGTCCTCTAGTTTTCCAACTGCTTTCCTAATTTAAGAATTGCCCTTCAGTGGGGTTACTGTTGTAACTGTTTTTCTGGGAATTGATTTATTTCTCCTGTTGTTGTCACTGTCATTTTACGTCTCCTGCTCAGCCCCCTCTTCTCAACTCATTCCCTGGGTTACGTTTTTTGCTTTTTCTTTATATTTGTTTCCTACCTAATACAATAGCAGGAGTGTGCTTGAGGCTTCAGAAAAAAAGACAAATACCTGCCTCAAGGAGTTTACAATCTAAGCTAGCGCTGGAGAGATGCCACAGCTGAAGGTGTAGGAAGAGGATCGGGTTTACACAATGGAAGACTGAAGTATCGTGTTGCTAGTGTACATCTAGTGCTGGGGCCTGATGCATACATATTTAAGTCTAGGCTTTGTTTTGCAGTAGAGGAAGGTAACTCAGGAGTAGGGTCGGCACTTGAAGGCTATTCAAAAGAATGGGGCTTTTGAGGAGGGATGGGAAAGTATGGGCTGCATGGCATGCATGAGATTGCAAAAGTTGTTGCTAGTCTAGGGGGTGCTGGAGTTAGGGTTATGGAAGGTCACACCCTTAAGCCTAGGGGTAATGATAGAGCATAGGACATGGCTGGAGATGAACAGTAAGGGTAGAGCTTTGTCAGAAGGTACAAAGGGTAGGTGGGCAGCTGCTACAGTGTGGGATAGCAAAGGCTGCAGGCTTGAATGGCCAGGCAGATGCCATATGGTTCAAGAGAGATGAACTTAGCCAGAGAGAGAGAGGTTGCAAAAGTCCAGGTGGGAGATTACCAAAGCTGTGGAGCAAACTCAGTTCAGTTGGCCCAGCATTGTATATTTTAAATGTCTACCTTTGCCCTCTAGTTTTCCAACTGCTTTATTTTATTTTTATTCCAATTGTATATTTTTTCCTCCCTACCCTGTGCTCATAGTTCAAGCAAAAGAAAAGGTTTTCAGCAGATGGAATGCAAGGGCTCAGATCCAAGTGGCAAAACTGGTACTAGAAGGTGTGCAGCAATGAGCTGCCGAGGTAGGTAAATAGCAAATTGTAACTCTGGTGGAAAATCTTGTAACTACTACTGCTGAAAAAACGTCAACGTTGTCTAG